AAAAAAATCCCTATTAAACTCCAGATGTTGTAGATAATTACTGTACAAATACATTTTTTTATAGATATTAAATTTTAATTAAATAATTTCCAAGTTTTTCATCTGTTTGTAGATGAGATCAAGGCAAGCAGAGTTCTCTAGTCGAGATACGGCGAATAAAGCTTTTTCTCTAGTTTTTTGGTTTGCGGGCAAGCAGACAGACGGACATGAATAGAAATCTAGAATCTATATACTTAATGCTAAGATTTTCCTAGGAATCTTTTTTAGCCTATTCAGCTATACTTTAGGGTTATGTGATGTAACTTAACTACTAATTAACTAGCCTATCATTTATGCAATACTGCATATAGAGCATAATTATTATAATGGAATAACATATATAATATATAGAGTATAAGTGGTATACTAGAATAAATCTTAAGTATTCCATATTATTATATGATATATATGCTTATTCTCATATATATTCCAATACTCACCTCATTTGTACTGGAATTTGTGGTTGCTGCTTTATTGCAAATCGCTCCATCTTCGAGTGCTTCAGCTTTTTGTGATTGCACTTCCTGCTGCTGCTGCTGCTCTAATGCGGAGCCATTTGGCTCAGTTGGTTTTGTTGGCTCGGGGGTGTGACTGCCGCAACGCTTCACCTTGGGCGCTTTTTCGACGGCGCAGCTGCAGCTGCTGTTGACCGTGCCGCAAATGCAGACCAGCTCATTGCTGAGGGAGGCTCGCTTGGAGTCACGCGGCGTTTGGCTGGAGGACAAGAGTAGGCCAAGTCCATTGAGCTCCTGCAGTTCCGTTTGATCCACGCCGGAGCGTAGCGATTCTGCAATGAAAGAAAGAGACAGAGCGAGTGAGAATTGAGTTAGTTTGTGGCGTATATCAAAATATGGATTAAATAAGAGCTGAGAGAAAGTCTGTTGCGACGCCAGCAATCATAATAACGATGAGCTAATGATGAGTCAGTTCAGCTAAGGTAGCTCGTTCATTTGAGGCAGATGAGTAATGGCTGCGGCTCACAGCAAACCACAAGCAATTGTCTGGGATCAGAGAGAGGCGGGCATCAATCTCAATGACAAACAGCACACGATGCCACGAAGAAAGCGAAAGCACAACAAAAACTATGTCTTCATCAATTACGCCGATTATTATAGGTGCGAGCGTGGCCACGCCCACTAATGGGGTTAGAGGCCTCTGGAGACAGCAAAAGCCTCATCAATAATACAAAACTTCAGATGAGATCAGAGACAGACAGAGAAAGAGAGAGAGATAGAGAGAGATGGGTTAGAGTGAGATAGTCACGACTGTCATAACCTGCCAAGAGACATCAGAGTTGAGCTACCTCAAGAGGCGTTCCATTAACTTACGACGATCCTCACTGCATCGCCTCTGCAGTCATTACTCTCGACTCCCTCACCCCACCCCACCCCACCCCTCGCCTGTCTTCCTCTTCTGCTAAGACATAACTTACACGATTTCCTTACAGCGCACGCGCCATAAAAGTGGCCTTCGGTCGTGTTACCGCATCAATTTATGGCTAACTGTCGTACAAAATTGTCAACGCCAACCAGTACAACCTGTACAGGCCCCAACCAATCAACAAACAGCACAACCTGTACATGAGCCGGGTCTCGGGCATTTCTTCCTCGTAAATCAATTTCCTCTGCACTCGCCAAATTGCTCGCATTTTATCAATTGATTTATGAAAATAATTTCTTAATTTATAAAAATTTATGTTTGTGATTGTTGAAACGTTTCTGCAGAGCGAACACAATTTTGATGAATTTATCAATTATAGAAAATTGTTTATTGTAAGCTCCTTAAGTTGAAGCTCGCATTAGTGCCCCCGCCCCTTTTCCGCATGGCCCCGGCAAAACCTGACTCTAAATTACCTGCGCCAGGTGAGTGCAGGAAAATACCAGCGCCGAGCATTAAGCCAATTACTCAAATTGGCTGTCGATGAGGCGATGACAGTTGGCCAATTAAACGAACTGGACAACAACTTAAGCCCAGACACAAGCCACACCACAGAGAACCGAGCTGGTTAAATGGGTAAAACTGTTGACAGACAGTTGGTTGGGTCTGAGAGGTGTGGAGCTTAAGAGCTGTATGCTATATAGAGTTATGTATAAACAGCTTTGAGCCTTAATGAAAGGCAAAGTTTGTCAAATTATGATTAAAACTGCAAAAATTGAAAAGTCTTAGTATTGACTGTTTATAGAATGGATTACCTTTTGCATATTGAAATAATAGCATTGATATATATGGAAATAACATACAGAAATAGACATTGATAATAAAAATAAAATGACAATGCTTTTTTTTTACTTTCAATTGTCATTGTAGAGATATACCACTAAAAAGCATATACAATAATTATAATAATCATAATCTGTTTTTGCTCAAAGAAAATCAAGTAAAAAGTGAAAAGGTAGTTTTTCTCATTTGCTACTCATTAGGAATTCCCTTAGCTTAACAGTCAGATTTCCCCAATTCCTAGGCAAATACCCTAATGACCATTAGCCATAGATGGCAAACCTTGTCCCGATGACACACCTGATGTGAAAGTCGCCTCTGTTGCAAGCTGCAAATTGAAATGCGGCAAGTTGCAAGTCGCGCATCGCAAATTCAATGACACACGCCTTGAGAATTGTGCGCTTGGCTCTGGCACACGACGATGGTATTCCAAAATTCTGGAATGGCAATTAGGCAATTAAATGGCATTAGTTACACGGCATTCGATTGCCGAAGGCCGCAAATACAACAAGTACATATATGTATATACATATATATTTTAGCCATGACACTGACTGATTGACTGTGCTTGCAAGAATTTTCCCGCATTTCGCGTTCTCACGGATCTGCGCTGGTCGCCAGCCGGTGGCCGCTGACAGGATCGCAATGGGCGGCCATTGCATGCTGCGATTGTGTTTTATGGCCCGCTAACCGACCACCTCAGTAGTTATTCGCTCGAATGTGCCAAGCAAGTTCCTTTCATTTCCATTTCCATCTTTTTTTCCCATCTTTTTCCCACTGGACTCAACTTTTATGGCGGCCAGGAAAAACCCAGTCGCCTGTTTCATTCAGAATTTTTAGTGCGCAGCGCTTGTGCGTGTGGACTTTCCCTAAA